ATCCCTTGGGAGCCATAGGCAGCCAAATGGAAGCTATAGATTTCTTGCATGCCTACGGCCTGTCATGACAAATACCTAAGTCAGGGGACACCTAATCCCTTCTACACTATTATATGTTGGCAAGATGGTGGAAGGCCTTTGCAGGAGTTATGACTACTTTTACTATCATAGGTATCATAGGTTCTCATGGTCAGAAAGCAGTTACTCACCCTTAGAAGGTTTTACGGTCTTCTAAAACCGCAGTTATAAAGTTGCTTTAAAAACCCGCAGTGGTTTTGTTCTGAAAGACTTAAGAAGTCTAAGGGCATTCTAGCATTGCAGCATTTATGGCACAGATCCAAATTATATTGCCTTTTCCATTAATTTAATGTTCAACCTGCATTTCTAGAAATAAAGCTCAGTTCCCTGTTTTTGCAATACTGTATTTTACATTTCCTATGCTTTTGTAATGACCTTGAGATAACACTGTTTTGCCTGCTACACCTTGTTTCTTCTGATGCTGTGGGTTTTGTGCATGCACTGGGCAGATGATTATTGGAGTAACACATGAAGACTTCTACAAGTAACCTAATAGACAACCAAGAATATGGGTAATTTGTCATTATGTGAAAATGTCTTATGGATACTGAACTGTTTCTGAATTCAGTGTGTGAATTGTTTGAAGCAAGATAGGTTGCTTAGTATACTGAGTTGTAGATGAACTCTTTTCTTTTAAAACCAACTTTTTCCTCTTCTTTGTGACCACATAAATAGCTTGTATGAACTGTTCTTCAGCAAAGTCTTAAACTGTGGTAATACGCCATGATTGGGGCTGTACACAGTGTTAACAGTAACAGCCTAAAGCTTCACATTCATTAAAAACAGATCTCTGCACCATGGCATTATCTGGCAATTTGTATCATGATCTGGATCAAGTGTAAACAATCAATTTAACTTCTGACTAACTAGCTAAAGCACATGATGCAGCATACTTTCTGTTGGCTATATGAGGGACAAATGATATGCAGTGTGTTATAAGGATTTCCACGATGAAGTTACTACAACAAAATTTGGAACCTGTTTGAGCCATTAGAGTCAGCTTGCGCTATGTTGTACTTTGCATCATGCAGGCATGGTGCTCTTGATCTAAGTTCTCTAAATCCGTCACATTGTGAAATAGCATGATGACCTAAAGAGGCTTGTGAGACTGGCATGCTTTATTTTGCTTTATCGTTTCGTAAGATCCAGTTAATAAGATAGGAGTATCTCAGCTGAAACATTACAAGAGCATACAGAGAGCTCCCCATATTATTCTCTACCTTTTGACCCCTGTGCTTTTGCTTCCTGCTGTGTGCTGGTGTGTACACACTTCTCCAAAGACACTGCATTTCAAAAACACTGAATATATAGGTTACTTTGGAGTATAAGTGAAAATGCTGAGGAATCCCAGTTTTAATGAAATTAATGAAATTGATTTGAACTACTCAGAACCAAAGATTTCAGACAATTTTGGTTTCCCTTGTAAAAGGGCAATCAATGTGAAGAAATACTACTGTTAGCTGGAGTAGGGGGGTACATAGGAGCTGACCTAAAAAACCTATGGAGAACAAGGGTTCTGCAGGGGCTTGGCCTCAACCTTGCAGATTTTGGAGTTTCACTTAAGAAACTGAGAGGAGCGAATATTTGTGTAACACAAGAGTTGACAACAATCTGTGGTTGATCAGGCTTCCAGCTGGTAGAGATGTGCACTCAGGGCTGTGCAGTACCGTACTGTAGTGAAAATAAATGTTAAAAACATGATGCATCCTGCCTAGAAAGACCTCACCAAACCAATGTATTTGGAAGTAATGATCACTAAATTATGACTCCAGCATTTTATTGCTAGAGTTTTTCAGCCCTAAATATGATCAGATGGCATAGCTTGGTCAGCGTGTCACCTATACTCAGCCTCTTTATATGGAAGCCTCACCGTTTTTCCTTCTCCTTACTCCACTTCTGGGATTGCCACCTTCTCCTTCCAGCTCTGCCACGAACAGGAGTCCCAGTGGTGAGGACCCCAGGGCAGTATTCCTGGCTAGACTCGAGTAACACCTGTTCTGACCAGCCTTGCTCAGCAATCACAGCTTGAGCAAAGTTTATTCTTTCCTTGCTGCCTTTAGCCTGCATATGAGCATCTGCGCCAGAAGTGCTACACAGGAACATATATTGCAGTGGTTCTCAAGCAGTAAGGTGTGCCCATAGTACTGACAAAGTACCGTTTTACTGGCATTGTTTATACTCTGATCTGAGTAAATGTGGCACAGTCAGTCGGAAGAAAAATGGTGCTGATCAGATCGTGTCTCCGCTAGAAGCTGTGCCAGCACACACATGCCAGGCAGGGATCAGACCTTTGCACTCTCTTTCAGAGCCCCGTAGGCAGAAGCCTACAGCTGTCTTTGTCTTTCATTCCTCTAAAAGCAGTACTTGCTGTTCTTCACCTCAGTCCTTGCTTAGTTCTGTGTGATACTTTGCTCAGATGTCGCATCAAGGTAGGTCTGGTAGGAACATGCATTCTCAGGCAGCTGCAGAGCAAAGCTAAGGGTTGACCTTGCTAAAATGCACCGCACCGAAACTCCATGAAGATGCATTTGCAGAGGAAGTTTTACAACCTTCATAAGCCTCTGGTTGCAGAAATAATTTTTTTTTTCCTTTATAAAGCCTGGTATATTTTCAAAGCATGCATTCATTCAGCACCCACTTCAGAGTAGTTTAACTGTAACTATGCATGGGGAGCACCTCAGGGAATAAGGATTTAGCTGCTACTCATCAAAGTCCATAACACAGTTAGCTGAATTTTTACTTCTTGGAATAAACAAACCCTGAGTAGTAACAAATTTGCAAGTTTTTCCTGTTTTCAAGGAGGTTTTTTTGGCAAAAATGTAATTTGTTGAGAGGAACAAAATTTTATTATGTTTACTTTTCACACTATATTCTGGGTCTTAGTTCATTGTAAGAGTGTTTTTACTCATTTGAGCATTTCTTAAATGTTTTGTTCCATTGACTTTTCTGTTAATAATGGAGGGTTTATTAGCAATATTTGTGACATTATTTGCAGGACTACTGGTACAATTTTAAAATATATCTGTATGTTAGCAAGTTAATTAGAAAGCTGCAGGCAGTGTTGCTTGAACAACTTTTTGCATGTTTGTAACTCAGATTCTTATGAAGAAAAAAATTATTTCAGATAGATTTCTTGAGGAGGGAGGTACTTGCATTATTATTTCCTGAAAAATGAATCCTTATTTGGTTTGTTTTTTGTCCAAGTCACCTTTTGCACAGCATCTGTCACTTAGAAAATAAGCCAGCCCCACTATGTTCCACTTAACTTTTGTCTGTTTAATGTGTATCTCTGCATAGGCTAGTTAGCATTTACAAACTCTGCTGTCAGTCATTCAAATTAAAATAGCAATTTGTTTGTCCATAGTTGAGTAACAAATGATTTTATGTGCAGTGAAAGCATGTGTTTTTTAAATAACAGCTGTAGAGATGCATTTTTGAGCTGGCAAATTGGCTAGCTTTGTCACTGTACTCAAAATTTCAGTTGTATTTCCAGTGAAGTTTTTTTCGTACCTTTCAAAGCAACAACAATATGAACATGACATCGGTGAATCACTAATGCTTAGGGACGGGGGAAATCTTGGTGGTGCTGCAGCACAAAAGATTAAGTGAATTGATGAATGTGTGACAAAGCAAAAACGTCTTTGGTACAGCCAGGAATTCAAATCTGCAGGTCAAAACTCCTGTTTCTGCAGAAATTATAGGACTAGAGCCATCTTAAAGGCCTTATCATAACAGGACTTTCTTTAATTGCACGGCTTTTTAAGGCTGAGTGGAGTTCCAAATGTATGTATGTGCATTAAACATGAAAAAAAGCAAATACCACTTCTGAACAGAGCCACAACTACTCTTTTGACTACAATGCAGTCTTCCATACAGTGACACAGTCGTACGAGCTGTCCTCATTCTGAGGCAGGTGTTGGTGAGATTGCAGCTCTGCTTTTTTCTCCTCTCAAAGTGCAGGGTGCCATGCAAGGCAGTATTTTTCCAAGTCATAAGAAGGCTAGAGGTTTTTCCTTGTTACTTAATTTTAAGGAATCAACTTTTGGCTGTATAGATACAAGTGAAGTTACTAGAACTTAGCTGAAAAGAGCTGTGCTGCACGCTGCCTCTTTCCTGTTTGGAAATTCTGCTAAGAGTTTTTATGAGCTCTCTGCACCAATCCTGCAGCAAAGAGGAAGCAGCACATAATGATTTCCCATCTCAGTTCACCAACTTAAGCTCTAAAGAAAGGTTTGATGATTAAGCTTGAATTTTTTTTCTCACAAGATTAATCCTTACTTTAGGGAGTAATTCCATTTATATTAGTAAGATTACTCACGTGAGTAACCAGCTACAGAATTTGCCTGTAGTACTGTGATTGCCTAGGGGGAAGTACAAGCAACTCTGCAATTAAAATTACAGAAAGAAAAGGAGGTCTGACCTTTTCTTTTTTATTTTTTTTTAAGTATATATATGCCTACTGTTTCATTGAGTGACAATGGCCTTTGCATTTTGAGATGTTGCTAGCAGCCACACAAGAAGGCTTTTCTTTAAAAAGAAAGAAATATTAAATGCGAAAGCTTCATTGTGAAAGGTAGAACGAGGAAGAGCTCTGATGAGGAGTTTTAACTTCAAGGCACCTTAGGCTTTCTTTATGTGCATCACATTAGTGGAAAATTCCTTCATTCATTTCAGAAGACAAACAGTTGTAACTTTCACGTTTGGTTGATGTGACATCAATGACTGGCTGGGCCTGCCAGCATTCCAAAAAGGATATCGTCCTCATCTGCAGCCACTCAGGACTGTGGGGTGGAGCCTGCAGCACAAGCTGAAACATTTGCAGGTGCATAAGTAGGTAGGGAAGGGCACAGGTGATGCACCTGTCTCAGGAAAGGAGCACTAGCACAGGTGCGTCATAACTTACCAGCTGCCCGTGTTACAGCATGAGCTCCTTTGATCCACAAACGCACTCTCCACCACGCTGCAGCCCCCAGTTTCCAAATATCGGTCAAGAACCTCCAGAGATGAGTATCTACTATGAGAACTTTTTCCATCCACAGAACATCCCTAGTCCACAGCGACCGAGCACCTTTGAGGCGACGGATTACAATGCCACTCCCAATCCTTACCTCTGGCTAAATGGACCTTCCATAACCCCACCACCATACCTCCCAGGATCCAATGCCAGTCCCTTCATTCCTCAGTCTTATGGGATGCAAAGGCAACTCTTGCCTAACATGCATGGCTTGGGAGGAACTGACCTTGGCTGGCTTCCTCTCCCGTCCCAAGAAGAGCTTATGAAGTTGGTTAGACCACCTTACTCCTACTCTGCACTTATTGCCATGGCTATCCATGGAGCACCTGAAAAGAGGCTGACTCTCAGTCAGATCTACCAGTATGTGGCTGACAACTTCCCATTCTATAACAAAAGCAAAGCTGGCTGGCAGAACTCCATACGACACAACTTGTCTCTCAACGACTGCTTCAAGAAGGTGCCCCGAGACGAAGATGATCCAGGTATAGCTCTCTCCCCTTCTTCCCCCTCTCCCCCTAATTAAACTTGATTAATTTAAAAATGCCTAATACATTGTCAAGAGACATAATAGCCTAGATACAGGACATACACATAGTAGCTTTTCTGTTTTCATAGGTCTGAACTAGAAGGCAACTATGCATAGCTGAGGTCTGAATCAGTGTTGCTATTAAATCTCTGCAGGGAAGGGGATTCTTTACTGCTCTAGGTCTTCCTGAGAACTGATCAATGGGCTGAGCACGAGGCTTAAGCAAGCACAGGAGCAGTCTAACTGAGCAAGTCGCATCCAAAACCCATTTGGTGTAATGCATATGCCTTATGTCAAACTTAACTGGGGATTAATGGAAAGGGGATAAGGCAAACTCAGATTTGTCAAAGAAATCCCTTACCTTTAGGGAGTAACAATAATTTTGAAGAGGGGAGCAGGCTGCTTTTATTTTGTTTGTTTAAAATACTGTTTTGCTCGGAGTCATACCTCTGCTGTTTCCAACCCCGTAGCTGATATGCTGTCAGATTGTTCCTTTATTTATTGTTTTCTGTCCATAGCTGTTAAGAACCATTGGGAATGTTTAAAAACCATTCAATTATGCTGCCACAGAGGGCCAAAAATCTGGTTCTCTCTCATTAGAAACCTATCCTACCCTACTGAATCTGGAGGAGCAGCCCAGTATAGGATTTGATTACTTTGCTCCAAATTCAGAGGACCAACTCTATACTGAAAGCCTCCTTCCCTCACCAAGAAAACAAAACAAAACTAAAAGCCCTCCGAGTGACTCCCCTTGTAGTTTTAACTGTGTGAAGAATCAGGGCTAAAGGAGACAGCCCAAAACTTTATGCTTTTTTCTGAATTCAACAGACTTCTGCTTATGTGTGATTAAAAAGTACATATGTATTTTGCTCATGCAATTGTTCTGTTTCTGTGAAATGAAAGAAACATTGTAAAGGCCTAGATGGCTGCTCTTTTCTGTCTGTGTGCATACTTTTAATTAAAAATGTGCTTTTGTCCCCTTTGACAGGAAAAGGGAATTACTGGACTCTGGACCCAAACTGTGAAAAGATGTTTGACAATGGAAACTTTCGCAGGAAGAGGAAAAGGAAGTCTGACATTGGGGCTAGTGCTCTTGCATCTGAGAAATCGGAGGATAGTGCCCTGACTGGAAGCCCCAAAGCTGTGGACCATCAGGATGTCTTGGAAAACTCATCACCTGGGACTGACAATTCACCTGAGAAAGGATCTCCACCTCCATCTTCCAGTAGCCCATGCCTCAGTAACTTCCTTTCCAGTATGACTGCATATGTTAATGGCTCTAACTCAGGGAGCCGCTCAGTGCCTTTGGGACTCAACCCTGAACCCATTGACAAAATGGGACAGAATATGGTAGGCTTTAATTCCTACTCTCCACTCTCTAATATCCCCAGTCATGGTGTGGGAGAGTGGTCCAATTCTATGCCTTCTAGCCACCTTGGCCACAGCAACTCTGTGCTCAACCAGTTTAACACCCATTTTTACAGCAGTATCAGCACAAACAACACACTGTATTCCAGGGAAGGAACAGAGGTTTAAATGAAGGATTCTAAGACACTAAAGTAGAGCTATTTATGAGAGGAAATGATCTGTGGGCAGATGATTAGCATTAGCCTGTTATCTCTGGGACCCACACTGCATCCTACCTTTTGACAGCCGCAAACTTGCTATCCATTATACTTATTCAAATCACTCCACATAAAAATATCAGGGATCATAACAGCAAGAGTAGTGAAGAGTTCTCCCGAGACACTGTGCTTGTATTGCTGCCAACCATGGTACTCTACAGACATCCTTGAGAAGCTACCATTTGCCTTAGGCATGAAGCTTTTTCTGGCATGGTACTAATATTGTTACACTTCTTAAAGTGCTAATAGAAATGTGGTTATATCT